ATCTGTAAGATCTCCTGTCAGCAAAGCAGTTGAAAATGACAGCATTTAAGCTTTTTTGTATTTACCTGACTTGGTTCTTCAATTATTTTACATAGGTGAATGTGGTTAAAAACAATTGAACTCACTTGCTGAAGCTTCTACTTGTGGTCATTTGCCCAGACAGGGTGAAATTTCCATTTCACTTTCATATCAACTGGTTAATGAACCAACAAACATATAGTTTAATTAGACATGCAAAGTGTATTCCAGTGGCTGAACACAGCCTGGAAAGGAATTGACTTTGAGGTAGCAGATAATGGTTCAAAAGTCTGTTCGTCATCGTAGCATTAACAAGGTGAAGTAAGGTGTGGGAAGGTAGTTTTCATTCAGCTTCAGTTGGTTTTGCTGCAGTCAGGTATAAATTTGCTCAAGAAGGTTGGATAGTTGCTTGAAGTTTCTGAATATAATCCATGGAATATTATGTATGGGACACTTACTAGCTTTTGGGCAAAATCCTGAAAGTTCTAGAAAATCCTATTTGACCACAAAGCTTCACTTAAAAATTTATGGGCTGAGTCCAACTTTGGCTTTAGAAAGTAGCTCCTTCAGAGGTTTGATTGTATGGAGTATCCGATATACAGGATTTTATTTTAATTTTTATTTTAAAACCCCACTTTGTTTTGGTATTTGAACTGCCAATCGAGATGTTATTCAGAAGAGTAAAAATGTGGATTGAAATCTTTATTGGAGGCAGGTGCCTCATGGCCATGTCAATACACAGTGCATTGGTGCAAATAGTTTTTGCACATCTGATGACCAGCTCCTACATCTGACGAACTGTGTATTTCTGCACTTCATGTTAAATGAATTATTTTGCTTATGACAACATTCCCAGTAACTGAATTGAATGAACTGCAGGATTTCTCAGTTTTAACCAGTTTTATTTCACTAAATACTTCTTATATAGTGGAATTCTAACAAAGCTCAATCTGTTAAATATTTATATAAATGTAATTATGAAGGAAACTCAGTCACATATAGGACCTTAAGAAGGTGATTAATCACCGTGATTTATGAAAAACAGTTGTCAAAAATAGAAATTGGACAAATAAACCTTAAGTATTAAAAAAAAATTAATGACCATTTTCTGAGGGCTCTAATCAGTCCTGTGTCATGTTTTAAAGTCTTCAGATGTTACCTTTTTAAAACTGACACACTGTAGCTCAAAATATAAAATATTGAATGAAGTACTATTGTACTCTTTTAAAAAAAACTGTAGTGGCCCATTTCTTTGCAATTCATTTTATGTTTGTAAATCTGGAGATGGATCTCAGGACATCCTTCAGGATGTGTTACTTACCAAGGATCTGCTTATTTTAAGTTGTTTATACAGTTTCTTCCTCAGCAAAACTTCAAATTCCAGCTCCAGTGTTGGCAGTTACAGCTTTGGTTTAAGACATTGTCTTTGGTAGTGCAAGTGCTTGCTAATTCACATATAAAAAGCTTCTGCAGGGTTTGCAGTAAAAAAACCCAAACAAAACTCAAAACCTTATCCAAGATCTCCCTAGAATTATTTGGTGCTCTTCCATGTAATTTTAGTTGGTAATACTTTCTAGTTTTTTTGCTTGTGTGAGAAGAGGCAAAAAAAGAATTAGAAAAATCCCTGCATGCATTCTGTGTAGACTCTGTACAATACTTGACTTTTCATAGGGTTGTCTTCCTGCTTTAAGAACAGTCAGCTGGGTTTTTTTTCTGAGCTTTCTGTCCAAATAATTACTGCTTGCCTTTATTTATTTATTTATTTTGCCACAGTGGTTAGCTGTTTTGGGAGTTTTGTGCAATGGCAGAGATACAGCTTTGTGTTTTTGGTTGCAGGCTCTGATTTGCCACATAGTTTCCTAAAGGAAGTTGCAAGCTTTTAACTACAAACCAACCAAAATCTGTTGAGTCCTGCAGTCAAACAGACCACCAACAGACAATTCATTCCTCTGCTTTAACTCTCTAATTAAACCAGTTGCATCTGGATAGTTCCAGCTGTGCAGAGCTAGGGGCAATGTCATAAGAAACACCGTAATTTCTGGAAAATTCCAACTTACTCTAGAAAATTTATTTTTGAATCTTGTCAGCAAATGCAAATGTGACCTTGAGTTCTAGTGGTTTCTCCAAATTTTAGAACTTTGTAAGAGGGGTGTGTGTGGGTGAGGATTTGTGTATGGAAGCTGTCTTTCCAACCGTGTGTGCAAAATGGAAAAGGCAGTAAAGTTGTGCAAAAGAAGGCATTAATGTAATATCCTTTTTTTTTTTTTTTCCCCTTTTATTTTTTTTTGCCTCCTAGTAGAAATCATCATAGAAGGGGACAGTTGGAAATGTTACAATGCTTGTATCTCAACTGAAGTTGCAACTTGTATAGTATTACTTTTTTTTTTTTTTTTTTTTCTCTTTTCTACCCCAAGGCAGCCTGTAATCTTTTCTTTAGTGTCTTGCATGGTACTGTTTCCATAGATCTATCCATTTTGATCACAACTGTAGGAATACTTTTATATTCTTAATTTCTGTGACTATCTGGCCATAAGTCAAAGAGGAAGTTACTCAGGGCTTTTTAACTTAGAGTAGCTAATCTTACAGCCATCAATCCTGACAGATTTGAACAAGACAGCCTTGTAGACTTTATTACTTGTCTTTCAACGTTTTGTTTTCAATGTTGAAAAGTCATTTCAGAGAGCCTCAAACTAAGCTTACTGTCAGTGCATTTTCCCATCTTTCAGTTTAGCATTTTTTATGAACAGTTTCTTTGTCACTAAGGTTTCTTTGCTAAAAAAGGATCACTTTTTCTTTGGCCACTTTTCTAAAGCTTTCTTCCCATCTGATGTCAAGGATATGTTTATTTGCAGTGTTAATGAAAGTAACTAGCAGTTACTGGAGTTGTGTGTTAGTCAGGCAAGTATCACTTCCACTTCTTACTGTACATGTTGTGATCTTGCTGTATTCTCCACCTCTGCTGACCTTTCCATGTGGCTCTGGCCCAGTAGAAGCCTAAAACTTAATTTTGGTTCCTGCAGTGATTGTGTACAAATAATAAGGTTCTTCATGGTTAAATACATGGGATTTTATGTTAACTGTAGAGTGACAGGGATTTTGTCATCTGGTAAGAACCAATAGCATAGCTGAATGGACTACTCAGGGGCACACAGATTTTTTTTGTCTTTCAAGTTTGCTCTCATCTAAAGGCATCCAAACCCACTACCCCACTAGGCCTAGCGGGCTGCTTGAAATACAGCATGTGACAGTACAGCAGGTGTTTAATTAAGGTGGTTTTTTTTGTTCGTTAGTGTATTTTTGGACAACTCAAATAGGTACGTGGATGGAACAGGCATCTTTAATGAAAGAGGAAATACAGGAGGTGCTGCAACTTTAAAAAATTGAGATTTTGTGCTATTTCTTAATGTTCTGTGTATAGAATAAAATATACTTCATTTTCCACCTTCCCTCTTCCCTACAAGTAGTTGTAGTTCAGTGCTTACCTCGTTCCCTCACTTGAATTAACTTTAGATTTCTTATTGCTTAGAGTTGGCTTAAAGGACTTGATAATGCTCTGTAAAAGAATTTTGTCTTGAAATGACACTACAAAATACTTTTGCACAACTAAATACAAACATCTTTTTTTTTTAATTTGACAAACCCTTCCAATGCTTGGTTTTCTTTTCCTGCCAGCAGACTGAAAATGTGATAGCACTGGGATTATATTGAGCCAAAGAATCAAGTTTCAGTGGATTAGAATAGTGAATATATTACTCATAACACTGCTCTCATTTATCAAGTCATAAATCTAAACATTACTAGGGTTTTAAGTGAGTTGTTATAGTCAAATTTTAAAGGAGTAATTTGCCTTTAATGATGTTTGCAAATACTCTTTATGCTTTGATCACTGTGCCTTTGTTATATGGAGGTGAGGGCAGTAGGCAAGACTTACCTTTTGGAAATAAGTAATGCTGTGAAATAGAGCATGAGATGAACAACAGAAAAAGGGCTGTAATCATACTTACTTAGGTTTGTTGAATATCTCTGTGTCTAAGCAATAGTTGGAGCATTCATAAATCAAAGCCATTTAACAGAGACTTGTAGGAAGATGGTATGCTGGTTCCTGTAAGGCTGCAAGCACTGAGAGAATTATGCTGGGCTGGAAGTGTACAGATAAGCAAAATGCCTACATTGGTAACAATTGCTTATGATTCCTAGATTGATCAATCTGCCAGGAATGCAGATTATTGTTTAAAAGAAGTTAGAATAAATTATTTTTTATAAAAGTTGCTTTATTAGTATTTTAACCCGAAAGAGAGGGAGGGGACAACTGTAATTGCATCGCACCACATCATTGCTAAATATTTTTCTCCCTATTTATTTATCCATTCTTAGAGATTTAATTACTACAGATTTGGTGGGGGAAAAAAGTGCATATTTGTATTTTTATCCATGTAGCTTTCTCTCTATGTTTACATATCCATAAATAGTATCTACAACAAACATTATGTTAAACCTTTTTTTATTGTACTGTGAAACCATTAAAACATTCATGGATCATATTTGGAGGTTACTTTGACTTATTTGTATGGATTATATTTGTGGCCTATTAGAGAAACCTTAGTATTTTTAAACAGTATTCAAAAATAGTTTTGAAATCTACCATTCAATAGTGCAACCTGAAATAACTGCCTTTATCTCAAAAGATGACTGTGAGGTTTAACCAAGTTAGATACAGTGTCTGAATTGTCAGTGATTGTGATAGCCTAAAGGCAAATCCACTTTTTTATATACAGTTTTTTAAAAACCTATGTAATAGAGTCCTTTGAGCACAACTCTTGACTTCTAACAGAGTGGAAATCGCATACTGGATGCATGGCCTCTCAAATTTTTGTTTGTTTAAACCTTCCCCTTCTTAGAGTTAATTGTGAAAGGCATCTCAGTGTCTCTCCCCCTAGAAGCTGAGCTTAGTGAAGGCTTTTTCTCCCCATTCTTTCCTGCAGGTCAGCACACAGAATATGAAGATGGGTGGACTGCCTCGTACAACACCACCCACCCAGAAGCCACCAAGTCCGCCAATGTCAGGAAAAGGAACTATTGGGTAAGTGCAGTTACCAAATGTGTAAACAGAAAGGGAAAAAGGGAAGATTCTTTCTTTTTCTGTAGTTCGGAGTTTGTTTGGTTTTGTTTTGTTAACCATTCACAAAGGTCAAGAGCTGTCAAATCTGCATCCTCTTACACTGATCATGTCTTATGTATCAGTTAGCATGCCTCTGCCAGAAGACAGTGGGCATCATCAGCCTTTCCCAACAGGAGCCTTTTTATAATTGCAGAGCACGTATAACTACATGCTTTAGAGTAAAAAGTCATTAACTGTGTGTCTTTGACAGCTCGTGCTAAACAACTGGAAAATTAGCACATGGCAGTTTTCATTAAATATTTTTGCTGTGTGTGATAAAAGTGCTTTCCTATTAAGTCTATGAACTTGACTTTGATCTTAGGACAATGTTAAAACTGGGATGAATGCTGTCTATAGCTATGTAATTATGTACATACATACAGACCATGGTGCTTTACTTTAGAACAAAAGATATGGATTACTTTTTAAACAAGAAAGGGATGTGCAACACAGTTTAGTGAGAGGAAGAGCATTTAGAGATTGAAGTACATGAAGAACATCCTTAATTGTTTGTTCTCATCCAACAAAGTGGATACTGCAAACTTAGGGAAAAGCGTATTTTTTTAGCTCCCATTATTGATTGGCATGTAGCTATCTTTTAATGAAGAATCTTTGGATTTTTCTGTATTGTCTTGATTTGCTTCTAAAATATGCCTGTCCTTGTGTAGACGTCACTCTCCATATCGTACGTTGGAGCCAGTACGTCCTCCAGTGGTACCAAATGACTACGTGCCTAGCCCAACCCGCAATATGGCTCCCTCACAGCAGAGCCCTGTCAGAACAGCATCTGTGAATCAGAGGAATCGCACTTACAGGTATTCAGTGGAGTCCTCTACAAAGTGTAGCTGGCACTGTGTAAGCATGTGGACAAAAAATGATTTGATAAAGATCAAATCCTTCTGTACCTCTACAGAGAAGCTTGGTAATTCATCATATGGGCTGAGAGCACCATTTGGCCTGATGAGAATGTACTCTAATAAACCCAGTAGTGAATCATGTTAAGATTGTTCACTTAATCTCCTAGTCGCCTTAATTTTAGTGCTATAATTTAATTACAATACTTAATGTGTTACTAATACCGTGAAGTCTTTCAAGTAGGTAGATCGTTATACTATTTTACTAAATGCTTACAAAACTGGGAAGAGACTTTGTACAGAACTTGAGTTCTACATGATGAGACTGCATAGTATCCTTATAGTTCACATTTTCATTTGAACAGTCTTTGATGTTTATAGAATGAGTAGCTGAAAAAGAACATTTCATTTTGAGAGTACTGATAACTTCAAACAGAATAAAACTGAACCATAATATCAAGAGTTCTGCAGAATGCTAGTCTTTTCTCTAGGATAAGAATTTTGTGGTGATACAGGTCTAAATACTTCCCTTGAAATCTTTACTTTTTAAACATGATAAATTGTTGTGTGTGGCTATACTGATGGACTTAAAATGTAAATCACCTGACTTCTACTACTTTACTATCTTACTATGTCCAGATTTCAGTAGTCTCATATGAAAGCATATTAATCAGAGTCTAACCAGTCTATGTGATTTATAAAATACAGAAAAAAGGTCTGTATTTGCTCACTAGTGGTTTGACAATATTGGAATTATGTGCTTTGGAAAAAGGTTACAGGTTACTTAATTTTTGGGCAAGTTCACTAAGAAAAACTGAAAAACCTGTTTTCAAAGTGAAGAGTTTCAGGAAAACTAAGATTTATATAGTCTTGTATTATTCTTGTTTCTTTTTCTCTTATTCTTATTACTTCTCTGAATTAGTAAGGTGCTATATAAGGGATCTTATGTATGCACAGCAGCAGCATATTCATACCCTGGGTTATTTTGGTTTCTTACAGCAGCAGTGGGAGTAGTGGAGGAAGTCACCCAAGTAGTCGGAGTAGCAGTCGAGAGAACAGTGGAAGTGGAAGTGTGGGTGTTCCTATTGCTGTTCCCACACCATCTCCTCCCAGTGTCTATCCAGGTAAATGGAAAATTGGTGTTCCTTTTCCTGACTCAGCATTAACCTTTATTATCTGCAAGTCCCCAAAACATAGTGCTGATTAAACCCAAGAGAAGTCTCAATAATCCAGAAACAGGCATGCCTTGAAAATTGCTTGCTGCTGATAGTATGAGTTTGAATCAAGTAATATTGTTTCTGGGAGTGTCTGATGCTTCTTTTATGTATTTTACATATGTTTATCAGAATTTTTTGCCTGGCTTCCTGCATGTGACTACATAGGATCCAACACCTTTTTCAGTGGGCCAGGGAAGCTTCTCCCTTGTCCTTAGCAAATAAATGTGTTTTTCATTGGCTATTCATGCAGATACCTAGAAGCATGCTGAGAGGCAGGGCAGAGTAAATCTTTGGTACATTAATGCAAGCCTGAGTTGTCACAAAAGACACACTTGTTCATTGTAATCACCTTGGTCTTTCCAGAAATAGGAAGTGATATTAGTACTCCTTTTTTCTTTGCCTAGCCCTTTTAGTGAAGAAGAGTGTATAGTGGTCTTGCAGTGCAATCTGAAATACATAATGCTTCTGAACCAAAGAAGTGGAAAATTTTGGCTTTACTTTTCTTTACATTTTATAATTTGTACAAAAGCTAAAGGCAGCCATGCTACAGATCAAAGTGTAAATAACAAGGTATAAAGACATCTTTCAAAAGTAATGGCTTTCACTGAAAAGTTCTGGGTTGTTCCTTTCAGATCTGCAAAGAAGCAGTAGATTTGCTTGACCCTCATTTACTGTCTACATAGGAATGAGCCTTTATTTAACAGCTCAGTTTTTCTCTCATCTCCTCATGCATTCTAAAATACTTTGCATCTAATAAGTAGCTAACACTGAATAGTCAAAGGCTTTCTCTAATCCTTGCTAACATATCTCCTTATTAACTTCACCTCTTCCTCCTCTCTTCACTTAGCCCCCGCTGGCTCGGCTGGCACTTCTCCCCTTCCTGCTACCTCTACTCCTGCCCCCGCTCCTCCTGCTCCTGCCCCTTCCTCTGCTGCCCCAGATGCTGCTGCTTCTGCTGCAGGAGCTCAGCCCCTTCCTGATGGCTTCACCTCTCCAACTCCCCCTGCTGTTTCTTCCACACCCTCTACAGGTGAGTGTCTGCTCCAGCTGGTGAGCAGATATAATCACCATCCAAAGCTTTTCAGAGTTACTTCAGAAGCAGAGGTGTTTGGTTGGTTTTGTGTTGTTGTTGTTGTTTTTTTTAAATGTAGCTAGAAAATATCTGCTGATAGCCACCTATAAGGTAACAGTTAGAATAGACAATTCACAGTGCGCTAGTTCCATAAACAGCAATGATTCAAATTTATGTATTTTTTGTATATATACTTATATAATTATTTATTACAGTATCATTTATGGTTTGGATACTGAGAATTTCATCAAATAATTAAGTTGGGGTGAAACAGCACTAATAGTTCTAGGTCTGAATTTTCTCCTTCAGTAATGGAATAAAAAAGTGCATCTAGCAAAGTATAATATATATGACTTGTCTCTTCAGTGCTTTTAAATACTAAGTCCTCTTTCAATGAGCTGATGAAAAGGGAAATTCTTTTGTGCTAAGTGTCATACAAGTTGGTATTATGCAAAATAGTACTAAAGCATTTTGGTTTAGTAGGTGGTACTTATGGTGTACATTGCAACTTGTTTTTTTAATGCTCATTAAATCACCTGACGTTTTTCATTTTCTCGTATGCTGAAGTTGCAGCATATAGTATTTGTTAACTCTAAGGCTGTTGTTCTGCATCAGCTTTTGATGAGTAAAAATACCTCCTGTAGGCAGCCAAATTAATATATGGCTACCTCCATGCTTCATTACTTTTCACTATAGTAGAGGCAGATCACAATGGTGTGAATTGTTTTGCGTGCTTATTAGTGTTGGTCTCTTAGGAAGAATTTCATCAGGTGCCAGAAGCATTCTTGAAAATGTGTTTAGTTTGAGGTGTTGTGACTCATATTACAAAATACTTACACTACAATCTATGACTATGCCTAGAAGCTTCTGAACTGTGATGAATCTTGGTATCAGAAGATGATCCTGATGTCTAAACTGCTTTCATATTTAGAAGAGGAGCTATGCCAGATGAGGGCTCAATCAGTTTTCCATTTTTGATGCAGTCGGTATCCCAGTACTTTAGCCATATTGCTTCTGTATTTTTGACAAGTCAAAATCAAGCAGAGATTAATAGTTTAATGGCTTTCAATTCACATTCACAATTCCATAAGATAAATTTCAGGTTACTTACTTTTTTAAAGATCTTTTGTTTCCATGCTATTAGTGAGGTTGCTTGCATGGCTTCTCAGACAGAAAATATTTCAAGAGACTGAATAGTTTACTGTTTATGAGGTTGTAGTATTTTATCCTTAAGAACCTCTTATTGCTGTTTCCTTTCTCCTCTCTTCTCTCCAGTCACCACCAATTTCTACCAGTACATTAAGTAGCAGGGAGAGAGACACATGAAGAAAAATGTGAAAAGCCTGTGTGCTAGGTGGATTATTTCTTAACTGTTCTTCCATATCTATTAAAAGTGCATTTTGAGATGTGAATCTCTAGTTCATGCATTTGCTCTTACAAGCAAGTAATACAACAAACAATTTGCATTTTATTTACTGGCCTAGTGTGAAGTTTTGCAAAGCAATCAAAACATGATGGAGAACAATACAGGTTTTCAAAAAATGACACATTCATTTGTTCTGTTTCTCTGTTTCTTTCCCTGCATGCATGTCTCCTCAAACACAGCAACCACCCCTTCTCCTCTTGTTTTCTTGCAAACTCTGGAACTTAACCTCTAGCACAAATGGTGGCAGCAGAATAGTTTGGGATGGTAATAACCCATATGGGTATAAAAAATCCTGTTTACTGTTATCTACATTCTGTAAGACAGAGAAATTTATGGAAGCACAGAAGATAGCTTAATGGTCTTACTTCATGCTAGCTTAGATTCAGGGTCAGTTGCTTTGATACAGGAAGTGATTAAAATGCAGAGCAAGTTTTTAAGGAGTTGTTTCAATTGACAACTCCCTGAAAGGGATCTTTGAGTATGATTTCATTTGTTCCATCCGTCAAGCATTTACCAACATTCTCTTCTCTGCAGATGATTCTCTGCGTATTTCCTGAACAGTGCTAAGATACTTAGTATTGTGTTTTTCAGTTGTAGAAGGTAGCAACTTTGAATCTTGGAAATGGTGTAGAGTTTGTATGTGTATGTTGCTTAATTGCTGGACTGTGAAGTGTGTTTTTTTGCAGGTTTATAAAAAACTAAATTTGCAAGAAGTTATTATAATACTTTATATAAAATGGATAACTGGGGATTATTTTGTTTCATTTTGAAGCTTTGTAGCATAGACACATTTGTATTTTCATGCTGGCTTTCATGAGCAGCTCTGAATACAGGCTGTTTGGAGTCTTATTTTTTTGTGTTGTTACTGAGACATCCAGTGTCCTGCCACTCTAGCAGCTGAACTAGTGGACTGCTCCTAGGATGTCTTAAAAAAACCCCAAAAACCTTGCCAAGCTTTTGAATCTTGTATGCCGATATGAAAAAAGGAGGCTAATATCTTTATTGTTCTAACCTAGGCCATCCAGTTCAGTTCTACAGCATGAACAGGCCTGCAGCTCGACACACACCCCCAACAATAGGGGGATCTTTGCCATATCGGCGTCCCCCTTCAATCACATCACAGACAAGCCTTCAGAACCAGATGAATGGAGGACCATTTTATAACCAGAACCCAGGTAAGAAAACTTTTCTGCTCTGTTGAATTAATCATGGTGGTGAATGCAGTGGCCTTCAGATCTTTAAAATCTTATGTTCAGTCTCTACTTCAGATCTTGCAGTTAATCTCAGGTAACTTCTTGGTAGGCATGCCAAAGCTGCAGTCCAAGTACAGAGTGTTAAGCTTCTGCTAAGGCAAACAGCTTAAAACAATACTATCTCTTCATTGTCAAGTAAATTACTGTGGATCTCACAGTCCCTGTTACACAAACTTTAGTCCTTTACTCCACCATGTCATGTATCTGGTTTGGTGTGGCATGGATATTTGATTTTGCACCAGAACACTGATTCTTCATTAATCAGTTCTGAATAGTTTTTTCTTCTAATTAATGGAGAGTTCAAGAAATTGCACTTTTTATATAAGGGTAAGCATTAGACACCTGAGAGGGAGACTTTATTTTTTGACAAAGCTACAGAAAGGTGCAGCAGACATACTGAAGGTTCCTTGTCAGGAAGGAATTCCATCTTACCAGCAAGATGAAACAGTGACTTGCAAGGACTACAGTGCATTTGTGTTTTGTGATTGTTGTGGGTGGTGATTTTTGGTGGTTTTTTTTGTTTTTTTTTAAGTTGAGCACTGAACTTGGAATTAGGTCAAATATTGCAATCTACATTCAAGGGATTTTGTCAGGTTCAAATACTACTGCTTATGTGCTGCCCTGCAATGAGGTGTGTGTTTTTAACTTGAGAAGGAAATTCACTTCACAGGAGGATAAAAGATACTTGCCTTGCCCTATTCTTTTGAATGCCACTTCTAAGATAATAAGATTTCTCTACTTCATAGTGAGACTTTTTAACAACTGCAAAGAAAATATTAAGAAATGCAGACCCTAAATGACCTCAGCATATGCCTGCCCCAAAGCCGCTCTTGACAGCGATGCCACCTAACAAGTGTTTTAACTTTGCAATGCTCCCGCGATACCAATATCTAAGCAGCATAGAGTTCAGCACAGGCTGAAGATCCTGTGGGAGAAGCTGGGCAAGTATTGAGATGGTGGACTGCACTACACTATTTGTATATCTGAATTCTTACCAGACTGAAGCAATTCAGTGTAAGGTGCTCTTGAGTGTTTCTGAATTAATTTACAACTGTGTCAATGAACTCATAATCCCAATGGTCTATATGGAAGGAAGCTGGGAGGGAACGTTTGAGCTGGTGTTTATCTCATTGTTGGAGACAGCAGAGGTACAGTAAAGTTCTCCTGATGCACTTTATCAAAAAAGTAATTATTAGCATAATACTTAGTGTATTAACCCCTAGAGGTCAACATTGCTTAGAGTAAGTAATGTAGAGACAATATAATACGATAGTCTCTGCACTGTGCATAGACCAAATGGTTAAGATAAACAAGGAATGATGTCAGCTAGCGTTAGCATTACCATATTGATTAAACTACACAACACAAATTAAAGAGAGGGATTTTTTTGTATTTTCTCGGAGTTCTTGTCCAGAGTTGATTTATTTTTCAATGTGGAAAGCCTGATTATTTCTTTCAAATAGAAGGAAATACCTGAAGCACACAAAGTAAACACGCTGAAGGAACATAGGAAACTGAGGCTAGTCTCATATGATAGACATAAATTGTATGAATCTATATGACATTGAATAGAGGAAAAACCTTGAAACTGTACATTTGTATATCACAGTTAACAAGGCAGGGACTTCATAGTTGCACAAGAATGCTGGATTAATGAATATTACTGCATTTCAGTGGGACTTCAAGTTCCAGCTACTGTGGTTACACTTGAAGGAATAAATAATCTTAAGAGGTCATGTCAGTCCACTCAAAGAATCTGTAATTAGAAATGTATTTCAGTTTTTTCCAAGGAATATCAATTAAATGGTGACATGATAGCACTGGCTTTATATGGATGTACGAGGATATTTTTGCAACAAAAAGGATGGTTGCTCTGTGTTTTTTTTTTTTGTTTGACGTGTGTGGTTATGAAAGGAATGTGAATATGAGTGACAGAAGAAATGCAAAGCACTTCAGAGAAGAGTTACTAAAATAAGCAAACAGAAGAAATTTTTGAGACATGAATTTTAAATGTCCTGGAGTTCTTTTCATTTGCTATGATGATGTAAATAAATTATGAAAAATACTACATCATACCTGGCAGTTTTCTTACAAGCTCTGAAATTAGTCTGAAAGGTATTTAGTTCTGTTCTGCAAGCTAAATAAATGTACTGGTACACAAAGTGTACCTTTTTCCCCTCATTCTTTTTGAGATGATGAAATGGTTTTGTACACCACTACTAACTAGAAAATTGCTTTCTGAAATATAATCTTGTAACTGGCTTAAAGAATATTACTGCATTAGTCTTGCCAAGTAGTACTAAAAATAGATAAAACTAGTTAACTTTTTTAAACTTAACTAGATAACTGAAACATTCATTCCTGGCTTAAACTGCTATTCAGTGTTCTAACATTTGCAGTTGGCTGAGAGTGTCTTCTTTAAATGTGAATTCACATGTATGGTACAAAGACAATGAAAGCGCTGTTTGGTGTTCAGTGCAGTGGTCTGTGAAATCAGGTGATGAGGAAGGGAGATAGCACACCTGGAGTAGTCCCTGTCACTCAGCAGCAGCACAGTGTGCTGTGTTCTACTGATAAGGTCTGCATCTTCTGCGTATGCTCGGTTCTCAAAGGCATCTTTTTCTGTTTTGCCTAAAATAACTACCTCATTTAATTTTTTTTTCCCTACGTTTTGGAGAAAAGTAGTTATATCCATTTGCATTGCTAAGGATTCCTGGATGCTGTTACAGAAGTCATCTTTGTAAATATCAATTTGATCTGACAAGTGGAGGATTATAGTCAGAGAATCCTCTTGATACATTTGTTAGTTAGATCTGTTCATAAAGTGCGATATTGCTGTAGTAATAAACTTCAACTTAAGGGAATCTCCTGGTCATATCAGAAGAATATCTCAGCATGGATTCTTAACCTTAAGAAAAAGATCTGAGTTGGAGATCATAAAAATAGAGAAATCTCCTTGAAGTAAGGATTAGGAATATGCTTAAACCACCTGAGCCATTTTTCTTTGACTGTCAGCCTTTTTATTTCAGCTTCTTGGCAGACTGTTGGGAGTGTTGATGATGTCTATTCTACTGTTTGCTGCTTTGTTGTGTTTCTAACTGAATGCCTCTCTCTTTTTAATTTCTGTGGCAGCATCCCTTGCTCCTCCTCCCCCCTCCATCCTACAGGTAACTCCACAGTTACCACTAATGGGATTTGTCGCCAGAGTTCAAGAAAACAGTAAGTTTGCTGCTTCCTTGTGTCTTTATTATATGTGGCTTTTGTCTTGAGATTTGTCTCTATGTAGCCAGGATTCTGCCTGCTCTGCTGCCTTTGAAAGTATGAAGGAGGGGAAAAAGAAATAGTTACTGAAGGAACCAAATTCTTCCTTCTCTGAATTTGTTGTCTCTAGTGTGTTTCCACAAGTTCTAACTATTGGTCCCAGTGCAACTAATTGGAACAGGGAGTGTTACTTCAACCTGCTGCCATGGTTCTAGAGATATTTTCCTGGTTATACTATCGCTTATTTTCAGTTTCAGATACTCCTCCCCCACCACCACCTGTGGATGAGCCAGTGTTTGATGAATCTCCACCTCCACCTCCACCTCCAGAGGATTATGAGGAGGAGGAAGCAGCTGTGGTGGAGTACAGTGATCCATATGCTGAGGAGGACCCTCCTTGGGCACCAAGGACCTACTTAGAAAAGGGTAGGTTTGAGCTAGTAGAGATGGTAGTGTTGTGTTTGTTAACATTTTGTAAAAGCTCTTGCCATCCTGCTTTAGACATGGAGTCTGCCTCATTCATAGCCATTATTTGGTATTGTGGCAGAGGTGCTCCTCCAAATGGCAACCTAGAGAATGAAAGTTAAACTAGAAGAGCCTGACTCTTCTATCCCTTTCTTCACAAAAGAAAGATACTTGCTGGCTGATGACATTTTTTTAAAACCCTCTGTAATCTGTTTAAGACTCATCTTTCAGTAGTCTGCTTAATCCTAATAATCAAACTCATATGAGGTCAGAAATGAATTTAAATCAGTGCTGCAGTTGCACTTTGAACAGGTGGTATATCTGGAGAAGTGCTGCAGCATGTGTTTGGGGCTCACTCTTGTGGGGAAAGATGCTATTTCCTGAGTCAGTATTGCTGCTTCTTGTCTCATTTGGAGCCTTTTTTGCAATACTGGCCTGGGCTCCCGGTAACTTGTGGTATGTGACAAGCGCACAGCTTGAACTGGCGGGACTACAAGGTTTAAAGGTCTAAACCGTCTTCTAGAGTTGCCAGCACAGAAATAACATGCAGCAGAACGTAATGGTGATGTCAAAACCAAACCAGGCTTCAGGTAATTTTGTAAGAGGCTTAACAAGAAGTGAACTTTCATCACAAACTTAGGGAGGAGTTTCCTGCCTGTGATCATGTAATAATCTGTCCATTCAGTATCAAGAGGGACTAGACTACACTAAAAAAAGACAAATCAAGGAAGGTACTGTGATCCTTGGATTAGTCTTACATAGAGAATGAAGAACAACAGCACAGTGACTCAAGAAAGAAATGTTTTAAAATGAACAGGTATAGAAGGCAGTTAAAAAGGAATTTTAAAAGACTTTAATTGAATGTATCCTGTTCATATAGTGACTTTTGTTTTTCAAGCTGAAAATTTACTCATTTCTCCATTTCTGTATTGTTCCCCGAGAATGGTATGTCTAAATTTAGTTAGAATTAGTTATTTAACAACTCTGCTAGTTAGAGCCAGCCATTTTAAATATACTTTGGTCAAATTATACAAACCTCCTGTTTGGGAGATTTATTTTAAAGAAAAATAAACCTCTCTACATACTCTGATTCTCCAGCCAGATTGATTTATATCTTTTACTTTATAATCTCTTCAGGATCCAGGGTTTCCTAGTAAAAATTTCAACTGATTCCTTTGCTCCCTCAAAAGGAAATGACCTGTTTTGAAAAGAATGATGAGTTTAATAGGACTTTTGGACACTGTGCTCATGAACACATGCTGTTATTTTTTTCTCCTTGCCTTGGTTTAGAGTATCTTCCTTTCTACTCGAAGAACAAGATTTTAGGATCCCTGTCCAACATCCATTTTGTTTCAGTGGCAACACTGCATGGTTCATTGCCAAGTGATCAAAGCAGTGACTGATGCTATTTGTTAAAGTATTTGGAGTCCAGCATAGCTGATTTTCTGTATGGAACACTTAATGATAGAACTAAGAATGTGTCACAGTTTGACTCAGGTCCGACAACAATGCTCTCGATCCCCCCTCCCCCCAACCCAGGTAGGGAAGGAGAGAGAGAAAAAGAGAGAGACTTGGCCGGATTGAAAACTAAACTACACAGCTTTAATTAAAACACTAATGAATCATACAAGAAAATATATACAATTATATACAGATATATTCAGGTATGGGCAAAAACTTCTCGCCTCCCCCCACCCCAGCAACTCCCACAGCACTTCCCTGATCTGGGAAGAGTCCCGAGGAATCCCAGAGCTGCTGCTGGGAAAGAGCAGAGAGTGATAAGGGTCAAGAGAGCTCAATCCTAAGGGTCGACGGTGATGGATGAACAGAGTCCTCCCTGGACGCCGGCCATGGACGGAAGAGAAGGGGAGAAGAAGAAGGAAGGAAGTTGTCTTCTGTGTTCTCTGACCTTCCTCTGAGCTTACGTAGATATATGGAATGGAGTATCTTTGGCCAATTTTGCTGTCTAACTCAGCCTCCTACGGGGGGGGTCACAGATCTCCCCATAGTGTCTGAGCCGGCAGAGTGCAGGTGCGGCCTTGAAGCCTCAGGAGTTAGAAAAACATTCCACTGTCTTATCAGCCTAGCAGAACACACTGTTGCTAGTTACAAGAAAGCTTACTGAAGGAAAAAAAAATCAGTGAAAAGAAAAATTGGCTTCATCCTGGCTCAAACCAGGACAGAATGGAAAAAATATCAAGCTATTGATATTTTCTGCCACTATTTTCTATTTTCTGCCACTTCAGGACAATAATATTTGTTAATATTTGCTAGTGCTTTGTCCAATTTCTTTGGCTCTCCCAGCAGCTTTTGTGCATTCAGTAAAATACTCTGCAGCTGTAAGAAAAATGTCCTGATATAGTAGGCATACATTTTGTCTCAGAGAACCACCTTCCTAGCTCCTAAGTGGGATTCCTGACCTTGGCACTGTATACCCCAGGAGTGACTATTTCTAGCTAGAGGGACTGCACAGGATGTGTTTTACAGATTTAAATGTGGAGGTGGTTAAAGTAGGTAGAAGTCTGGGACAGCAGCCTTGGCTCGTTCTCACTGTGATCTGTAGAGAGGTCTTTTAGTATGCTCCCTCTTCCTTGTTTTCTGTCTGACTGTTAGTTGTTGTCTGGTTTGGCACATATATCTAATACATGAACCTTGGAGTAGGTCTGAGTGGTTATAGCTATGGGGAGTTACACTCACCTCTCTGTATCATTCCACACCAAAAGTTATCATGTATTTGTAAGCTTTTCCTTAGGTGGGTCTAGAAATAGGAGAGTTAAAGTAGTCCTGGCTGCTGTGCTTCAAAGTGTGAGCTCTTAGAAAGGGTTGGATGCAGCAGGTCATTCAGCACACAGAGGTGAGGCAGTGCAGTTTTCCGAGATTGGCTAGAATGTGGAGAACTTTGTATGAGGTAGGTGGAATTTTTTTTGCCTTCTTCCTGTATCCTCTCCTAACTAACTGTCCTCTTCTGTTCTGTCCTAGTGGTGGCGATCTATGACTACACGAAGGACAAAGAAGATGAGCTCTCATTTCAGGAAGGTGCCATCATTTATGTCATCAAGAAAAATGATGATGGCTGGTATGAGGGGGTCATGAATGGAGTGACGGGGCTCTTCCCAGGGAACTATGTGGAGTCGATCATGCATTACTCGGAGTGAAAACTAGAGGGCAGGACACTGCATCTCCTGCTGCAGGAGCTGTCAGGGCTTCCCAAATCTCCACCAGCCTCTGGGGCCTCATCCAGTATAACTGAATGAAGGATAATTGTAAGAACCACTTTTTTTTTATTCCTTTTTTTTTTTTTTTCTCCTCTCATTATAAAACAATAGTGTTTTGAGTTGTTTGAACAAATGGCTCTTCCAGCTGCCAGCAGAGGCTATCCTGAGCCATCTGACGTTGAATTAAGCTGACCCACTCAGATGTAACAAACTCATCGAGTAGCTGATACTTCACTCAAGTTCTGACTTCTGACAGGCTTTGGGATCTGTCTCAGGAATCCTCTGTGCCCTGTGGCACTACCCTTGGCAGCAGAGCCTGGCGCTTGGGATGTCCTGGATGCTTGCAGTGAAGGGTTACTGGCCAGTGGACATCCCTCCTGTTTCTACACTACACTCCTGTGCAGCTGGAAGAACAGTCATGTGCTAGCAAACACTGGGATTTCTACACAGAGCCATTCCTGTAACTGACTTCCAGGTAGTTGGATACATCTTAAGCATAAACAATTCTGGCAGCTGCTCTGCACATGTAGGCTGACACAGGGGCTTTCATTCACTCACCTTTCAGTTTAGACAATTTAAGATGGCTGCAGCCCAGACAACCCCACTCCCATTTCCTCATTTTTTGAATGCCAGATTTGTTTTGTGTTCTGCACTGATGTAAACATGCTCCTCTCTGCAGCGAGCTACTCACCATGGGTGCTGCTGGTTTAAACAGAACTCACAGATGCCGTTGACGGTGAAGGCGAAACAAAGTTTACAGGTCCTCCTGGGGTCTGAGGATAAACTCTAGGAGCTGTGTGATCTAAGGTTCAAATCTACTCAACGCCTGCTTGCACTAGAGAAACTTACCCCCAGCTTTAGTCTTATGCACAATATAATCTTAAAAATCTGATCAGGTATTGTAAATTGGCTATTTTGTACTTGATGACTAGATTTGCATATGTACTGTGAGAGCCCTGTGCAGAGGCAGGACAAACGGCAATTGTCGTCTTCATGTCTGTTGCCAAAATCTCTTCAGTGGATGCAGAAAGGGCTGTTGTGTGTACTGGTTTCCCATGGAAATCCAAGCAGTAACTAGTAGTAGTCCTAGCTCTGAACCCTCTGTTGTTTATTATAAAGAAATAGGTATTTTGGGTTGTACTGATGGATCTGGGGTGGAGTAATACCAAGTGAAGGCTCTGTAGCCCCTTGTGTTGGTAGTTTGCTTTTTAATCTAGTCTCAGTTAAAAATGCTGCTCAGCAATTCTGCCTGGCAGATCAGTGTGAAGTGATGGCTGTACTGGGCTGCCCTTAGGAAGGACTCCTGTTATCTGTGGGCAACTGTCATGCATTAACAGGGTGAACCAACTGAACCTCCTGTTGCGGTCCTGTTAATCTGCAAATTGAGCCGACCACTGTACTGTGAGAGGGACAGGGCATCTTCTTGAACAACTTTTAACTGTTGCTTGGCCAATTAACAGCTGGTACCAACAGTAGCTTGTCAGAGGTGCTGTAGCTGTCTTCTGAGGCTTGTGTGTGGCAGCTCATAAGAGAGTGCTACTGGGGTTGTGTTTGTGATGGTATTGGCAATGAGACAGGTAATTGACCCAATCTCCTTGCTTAGTAATTAGTGTGGTATCAGGATGGAGGTGCAGGTTTGGTGCAAACCTGGCCAGGGAGGTGCTGTAGCTGCTTAAGGGGGAAGAAAGAGGTAACAGACAATTGAGGTGTGTTTGTGGGATATAAGTGAATGTGATCATCTCTGTGAGCTTGCAGAAGAGTGTATTAAGAGTGTACTAAGTCTGTGGCATTGTGTAAAGAACTAGTTTGGTTGAAGCCTACAGGAGGTACAACTTTGAAGAAACTGATGTGAAGATAGAAGTTACTTTCTCCTCTGATTAATACACAGCCAGGTAGCCAAGACACTCTTGTCTTCTTTCGTGAAGCTGACAGTGTTACTATTTGGGGTGAGTGTTAGCCAGAAGAGATACCTTCCTAACTTCCTCTATGAAAACTTTAGTCTCCCAGCAACACTATGAGAAGCAGCCATGTTCAGTTCCCTCAGTCCATTGTTGCTCTATAACCACAAGTTGTGCAGTTTCTGGTGTCTAAAGGTAGGTCTACACTTCTTGCACAGGGAGGTGGTGCTTGCAGTCTGGCTAGCAGTGCAGGTGATTCCACACCAGTATTGCTTAAGCATGTGGTGCCCATAGGGTGGCTGTGAAGTCAGTCAGAGCTTTTCTGGGTTCTCTTGCCCTGGATATGTTTGTGGTAAAGACTGAGCACACAGTGCTCAAATGCACCAAGTTATGACAGCCTAGTGAGTTCCTAAATTAGAGCTATACCTCTCTCTGTGTACCCATGCTTCAGCTGGGAGATCACACATTGGTGAAATGTTAATTCAGTCTGTGTAAGAGCATACTGAATACTTTTGGCAGGTGGTTGGCGATAGTGTGTACTTCCACCATGTGTCATACACACCTGTGTCAAGCTTAATTCAGCTGGTTGGTCAGCTAACAAGTTTTCTTTGTTGTGAGAGATGAGAAGCAGTGTGAACTCCTGGAAGTGCTGGAATACTTTCCAGAGCTGAGCAGAGTAGATGAGACTTCAACCTTGAATGTGGACTGTGAAGCTTCGTAAAGAACTGGATTTGGTCCTATGTGCCAGGGGTAGTTTGGGTCCTCCTGATAGCATGTGGAATTGTTATACTGCAAGAGCTGCTGTGGATGGAATTTTTGGGTCACCTCCTGCTGGTTTTATGCTTTATTATGCAGTACTTTTATGTAAAGAAATTCGGTGAGTTTCATGGGTATTTTTAATTTTGTACAGATTTTAATTCTGTGGCTTGTCTGGGGATGATGTGATGTAATGGCCATAGACCAGGCCAAGGTAAACAGGCTTTGTATATTAATATTACATAGATTGCATGCTAGTAAAGTCAGTGAGGGTTGTGTTTCCAGTTTTGTCCCTTGTACTTCTTGAAAAACCTTCTCCCCCCTGCCCCTTTTTAATTTATGTGTTTATTTTAAAAGGGGGTGAAGTGGGGGAACCATCTCAGTATTTTAAATAGGTGCACAACATCTTTTTACTGAATTTTGCTGCCACAGCTGAAGGCATTCAGTATCACTGGCTGTTGACTCAGCAGTGTGTATGCATGGGTGAGAGGTGGGGAAAGGATGCACTCCGGAAGAGCCCAGACCCCAAGTAAGTATGTTTCTTCCTTTGTGACAGCTGCCTTAGCCCAGCCAGCTCTTTTGTGCACAGATGTGAAACAGCATCCTCTGGCAGTGTATTTTGCCTGCCTTGGTTTGCTGTATCAGAGGTTTCTTCCATGCTTTTGGCCCCAGAGACAAAGCTATTAGCTGCAGCTGCTTCTCCAACATCTGCCTGTGTGAGAGGAGGCCAGGCTGAGTCTGTCCCCACCCAGTACGTGGAAGCAGGTGGTTTTTGTGCCTTCTTTCCCACCTGAGAAAGATGGCTGAGGTTGCATGCCTCTCACTCATTCCTGATCCTGCCTTCCTTTTTTCCCCCACCTCTTACCTCCCCACGTCCTTTTTTTCCTCCTATAATGGGGTTCCATATTATTTATTTATCTTTCTGGCTGTTGCAGCAGAGGTCTGACAGGGGGCAGGAGTAGCAAGCAGCAAATTTTGTGCTTGAGCATCCTGATGGTGTGCTGAAGGAATGCCTGAAGACTTGCTGGCCTGATTGGTGAGACACAGGCAGACACTGATGTGCTGAGGATCCATTGCTCTGGACAAAAGGAGTAGCTTGACCTGGGGTAGGTGGCAGAGCTTAGCGTGTGTTACACAAGGCTGACCATATTCCTGGGACTCAGCTTGTCCTTGGAATTAGTTGAGTTGGGTATTACTGAAAGTGGATGGAGGTTGTTGCTGGTTTGAACCACTGTTCCCCAGAGTCCCAGTGGTCTGCAGCTGAGTGGCTTACCAGTGGGTGCCAGTAAGCTTTAGACCCTGCTAATTCTTGCTAGAGTGGTTTGTTCTCCTTTCACAGCTCCTGGGCAGATTTTTTTGTTTGTTTGTTTTGCTGCTGAGGGATCTTGGTGACAGCCAAAGTTGACATTGGCAATGAAGCAGCCTCTGAGAAGTGGCACTTTTGCCTATGGCTTTTCAGTTGATCATTAAAAGAAGGCGCAGTGGCAGCAGGACCGATGCTTCTTTTCTGGCAAAGTTTGGGCTGCCTGCCTGGTGTGTATTTGTGCAGGTTAGTAAACTGGGAGCATCTACAGGGTTTCTCTGCAAGACATCTTCTGAAACAGGTGGCATCCATGTTTTCTGCAGGGCAACTTACTGGAAGCTGCTAGAGGATGCTGTTGGAAAGATGCTGGTGCTGTGGTGCCTACTGGCTGTAGCAGTTGCACTGAGAGTAGAGTGTCACGGACTGACCCCTGCAGCATTTTGAGAAGCATTACAAACCCCATGCAGAGACTTCAGTTGTGATGTTGAGAACAGTGGCAGTGAGACTGCTGCATTCAGTAAGACAAGGATTTACAAGGGTGCTGTTAACTGAGCATGAGCAGGCAGATGATGGGCTATAGCTTATGTGGCACCACTTCCAAGAATTTACTTGCAGGTATATTCACCTTCCCCACCTTTTAGCATCTCTCAGTATTAGGCACTGCCACATTATGTGGATATAAGGCTATTATGCTGTGGTCAGAACAGTGCAAGAAGGGAACAGTTTGTGGTTAGTGTTTGGTTTTCCCCCAGTTGGTGTGTAGTGACAGTCCTATTGCTCTATTTTAATTTTAAAACTGCAAGCATAGTGGGACCCCTCACCTCGTGTCCATGGGAGAGCTGCTGAAAGCTTGATGCTGCCAGGGTTTGCCAACTGCTGTTACAAAGAATAAATTGCAGACCATGTTTTTTTTGCTGCTTTCATAAAAAAAAAAGAAAAATCCATATGTGTTGTGCAATCTCCTGCCCATGCAGGAAGTGTTTTTTTCCTTTGGTACTCTAAATACATTAATTTTATTAGCACCTTTGCTTATTACAAGATGTACTACAAACCAGTAAAGTCAGCAGCAGCCTGTTGTGCAGGGGTAAGCCTACACCCAGCTGAACACTAGCGTGGTAACCCTGTGCAGTACCTTAGTTCCTGTTTCTCTTAAAACCTCTGAGGAATCTGACCACTACTGGCTGATGAGGAAGAGCTGTGTACAAATTCATTTCCATTCCAGCGCCTTACTAAAGTGCTGACATGTCTGAGATTTT